AGAGAGAGAGAGAGAGAGAGAGAGAGAGAGAGAGAGAGAGAGAGAAATATATGTATGTATATAGATATAGAGATAGATAGAGAGATATATAGATATGTATATATATATATATATGTAGATAGGTAGGTAGATAGATAGATAGATAGATATATAATGTCGGGCTGAACGACTTGTCTCCGCTTAAGTTTAATAATTAGAACAAGCTAATATACATATATAAAGATAGCCTAGAATGTCAACTATTCTACCATCTTCTATGTTATATTTTTATCATACTCTATATTTTTCTTCATTATTATAAGTGTTACTAGTAAGCGCCGAATTCCACATTCCGATATTCTCGATCAGTTTCAGAACATTATTGTTCTATTTTCTTTTATTATTCCGTTTGATGGTGAAAGATTGTATCCTTTATCGAGCGGAGAACTTTAATATCTCTTACACAGCACTCTTGTTCGCGAATGTTTAAAAAGCTCCGTAAGCTTTGGTTAGAAAATTAATACTTGTAAAACTTCGCAAGAAGAAGCGAGCAAATTCGATAAAGGATTAATCACGAGTATAGAACAATGATCACAGAAGTTCCACTATATATATAAATAAATGCTATATATATAATTAAATTTGAACACTTGATTTAATCTGACCGACATTGATTCGTCTAGCCGCTGTCATCGAGCTCTAATAAGCAAGTTTATCCGACTTTATCAGAATTTCTCACTTTTATCGACCTCGATTGCCTCATCAAGCACAACAGCCAAATGTTCTATTTAATAATATAATATCCGGAAATTTTGATTTCACTCTTGATTTCTAAAAATTTGGTTTTAGCTGTCATAATGATTTTGAAAATATATAATAATTGATTATGCAATATTATTCTGCATTTTTTTATCTTAATAGCGAAATGTTTTACAACAATATAGCATTTTATGTTCAGTCGGAAACGAAATAAAGTCACGAGATCAAATTGGACAATCAGGATCAGTGAAGCCTAAGAAAACGAACGGAAAAGGAAATTGCCGTGGTGCTTCCTTTTGCAGCAATTATGGGTCTGTGCGCGCGTATAGGGACCGCTTTTCGTGATCTTTTCCCCTTTTGATTGTCCGAGGGCAAAGTCCCACCACGGCGAGTGGAGCTTATGAGGAAACAATGCCCTTTTCTTCTTCTCATCCACCTTTCTCTCTCAGGTTAATATAGCGGCACACCACTGCAATGCTTAGCCGGCACAAGCATGCAATTCTCAAACATCCTCTACTACCAGTCTTAAAATCACGAAGTCTGAGTCTTTTTCGAAATTTCTTTTTTGGTAGGTAGGTAAGTGTATGCGTGTAAAAATATAAGATCAAAGGAATTAGTATACTCTTGGAAGCCTGCTTATATTTCGCATAAGTAAGTGTGTGTATGTGTTCATCTCTAGAAGTTGGTACGTATATGTAGGAAAGCCGATATACATTGAAGGATTACCTTGGACAATCATGTATAAAAGTAACTATATATTTTTTAGACAGATTTTTTTCGCGTTTATTACGTTATAGAGATCTAAATAATTTATATCCTTTTACGTATATTAAACGCATATTTCTGAGCAAAAAAAATGTTTTGAATATATTGAGATGATATATATTTAAATTTCCTTGCGTTTTTATTAATTTAATTTTATCGTGATTTTCGGAGTGCTGATTTATTTCTTAAAGTACATAAAAAAAAAATATTTGTGTATATATAATTAAGCAAATTAAATTTACATTATTTATTTTACTATTTATTTAAGATTAATAATTTTTTAAAACAAATATTACGGGATTGTTTCTTTTCCAAAGTTAAAGAAAATTGAGAAATTAAGCTGAATGAAAGAATATCTTATATAACACTTTGAAAGAATTTCCCGGAAATTACGTCGAATATTTTTTATTCACTACAGATATCTATGTCTGATATGAGAGAATATGTGTGGATTTGTGCATGTGTTGTATGATTGTTTCGTGTCGTTTAAGCAGCGATGTAATTTATCAAGTTTCTAGTAGCAAAAAATCTCGTGATGGCAAAAAGAAGAAAGAAAGAGAGAGAGAAAGAGAGAGAGATAGAGAGAGAGAGAGAGAGAGACATATGTAATATATAAAACAGGTATATTGTTAGGTGTTCAGCTGATAGCAGTAAAAAACGAAGAAATGAAAACCAATGCCGAAAGAGCAAAGGCATGTTAGGCCTTGCGTAAAGCCGCTTTTCTCATTTTTTTTTTATTTACACTTGACTACTCCTCTATCTACTTTTGAGCCACCGTCTCATTTCTCCCCGATCACTCATCCACTATATATTAAATTACATCGGCGTGGCACGATTTATCACGGTAAGTGATGACAAAAGGACAAATGAAGTAATTGAGAGTATTGAAATCATTAATTAAGTGGAATAATATGGTGATCTTTCAATGTCATAATCAATATAATTATATATTGCATTAATATATATATAAGTAATTAGTATATATAAGTAATTAGTTTATAGTTGTTGAAAAAATATTAAGATATTATTAATTTTTCTATTATGAAGTTGACGTATTATCTACTTCATTCAAAAATTTTAATTGTTTTATTTGATCCTTGTATTCTTAGATATATCAGATTTTTTTGTCAATTATACACTATATACGAATTACTTATTGCTGCTACAATTATTTTTATACTACGCATGTAACTATCTTTTTAAAACACAGGATAATTTTTAAAACAAATAATTGTTGATTATCAGAATATCTGGATTGAACATTATTCGGTTTGAAAGCAGTAGGCATATATATATCGAATCAAGTGTGTGTGTGTGTGTGTGTGTGTGTGTGTGTGTGTGTTGTGTGTGTGTGTCGATATTAAAATGACAAAGAAAATTTTGTATCAAAAAATTCTCTCTCCATTGCGTGTAAATAACAAAACTGCTCTCTTTTGTAACTCCGAATAAAATTGTGTATATTTACATATGTTAGACAATTGTTACAAAGTGCAATATTTCTCGAATTGTTTTCATTTTTATGGATAATAGTTTGATGAAAACGATATTTGTCTTTCTTTTCTGTTTGTCTTTTTTCTTGTCTTTTATTTTTCACGAAATAATAACAGCGATTTTTCCTCACTAAAATTATCGATAAACAGAATCAGCATTTTTAATTTTTAATGTACTATGATTTCTAAAATCTTTGTTCAATATTTGCAACAACATGCATATATGTTGAAAAATTTTATCACGATTTAGGATTATCATGCTATACAGACAAAAAAACAATAGATTATCTTTACATAACATTGTTAAATATTAATACATATATGGAATTGCCACTAGAGAACTGCTTTTACACCAAATCCGAGAGAAAAAAAGAGAAAAAGAGAAAAATATGTTGTTTTTATTACATTTATAAACATAAACACGACATTATGTGTAAATAATTTGATTGACTTGATAAAGCGTGTCAGGTAAATTCTAAATAAAATTCACTCGTACATTTTTCTAAAGTTTTAAAGTACTTAGCCTGGCCTTGGGCTGTGTATACTTGATACAGCAAAATAAAATTCAATGAAACTGATTATTCAAAATTATAACAAATATATGCATCAAAAGAAATTTTATCGCATACGTAACACTTTCTATCAATAAAAAATGATTTTATCTCTGCTATATTGCATTTAAAATATTTTCTAAGACACAATTTCAAACAAACATCGATCTAGATTTTTATAAATATATTATCCAAAGAAGAACATAATGGCAAAATAAACGCTCTAATCCATCCAAGATTGGTATGAATACCAAATGAGCTACGTCGATGTAAAATTGATTGATGGATAATAAAGGCAAGTTGGCCTTCGACAAACGGGACACTGATATAAAAAAAATCTTATATATATAGTAGGAACAATGAACACAATCAATGATCCTAGTGAGAGGCTTCGGGGAGAGTGCCGAGACAAGTAACCCAATTATGAGTAAGTTACACGCAAAAGACAGTTTATTTCACAGGGGAGGTACCCAGAGGTGCATCTGTCAGAGAAAACAACATTCGCCTCATGCTCGCGCCTCTCGACGATTATTTTCCACGTGTCGCTGCGCGCTTCGACCGTAATCAATATCGGAGATTGACACATGGATGTTCTCCTAATTGGATGATGCGTTCGTTAATTCCGCAACTTCACTCCGCTTCATTCACGCAATCCATGTCGATATCGTATTAGCGAAATAGATTTTCTATGAAAGCCTTCTGCGATAATCATTGATAAAACGTACTCAAAGTATAAACATATTCACACATGTGTATCGAGTGCGCAAAACGGTGATTAAAATCTCGTGCGCGTGTTTTGAAAAATTTGTGATTGAAAATTTACAAAATCCAAGGAGCGGTGCAGGAACTTGATATGGAAAACATATAATTATTGATGATGAGTAAATTTAATAAAATTATAAAGCGAAAGCTTAAACACGTGCCGTTATTCTTGATTAATGTTTTCTGGAAAAACAATATTGGGGAATCTTTTTCCAGCCGCGTTTTTCCATCAAGAACACTTAGACAAGGATTCTCATGACTTTAATCACTTTTAAATTAATCGCGATCTCTACGACTACGTGTTTATTGCAACAAGGCGGAAATAATCGTCGAAGAAGTTATCGAGATGTCGAGCAAAGGCGTACTGAGGTTGACAGTAGTCGTAGTAGTAGTGATGAATTTGGTGATGGTGAATTAAATTTCTAGCTGCTTGCATTAAGAAATATATGGATAAACGAATGAACAAATGCTGAAAACGGATTTTGAAAAAGAGAGAAAGAGAAAAAGAGAGAGAGAGAGAGAGAGAAAGAGAGAAAAAGAGAGGTGGATTTGAGGCTGAGATTTTAAGAAGGTTTTTTAGGGTGTTTGTGGGGTCGACTGGTAATATATTACTGCCACTCTAGTGTATAACTGTAAGAGGTTCGGAGGAGAGTTTTCTCGGGGCCATGTCGGTATCGGGGCCCGATAATCCTACCTTAAAGAGCTGTACGCCAATGACGGCGAACACGAACTGCAGGAGGCTGGTGACGAGGACTATGTTTCCGATAGTCTTTACCGCTACGATGACGCACTGTACTACGTGCTGGGTTCACAATATTAATCACAATATATAATCGCCCTTCGTGATAAAGAGGTGAAAATTACGCGTCGCATTCGTTCGTAGCGAACTTTAACACTAGCATTTTATTGCCGCCAAATTCGTGTAGCTTTTTCAAATCGCGAAAGTGGTCTCTTCGTGAAGAGCCAACAGAATCTGGGAAACTTTGTTAATATTCTAAAGAGGTGAATCAAAATGAATTTCTTAATTACAACTAAAAGTACGTTTTTTAAATCTATCTTTTTGCAATGTACGGAGAAATTTACGTAGATTTAATAACGTTGTATTAATTTTATATTAGCTAAGAGAAATAATGATAAATAATGTATTTGTGTCGACCTTGATAAACAAATTTTCGCGTAGTGATGGTTATCACGCGTAACAAAAGTTCTTAGTATGTATGTAGCGAAGACGAAATATCTCGTTTCGCCTTTAATGTGATTTTTCCGACGTTAACGGCGCTCTTCCACCATTTGTATGAATAATTGCAACTTCGCGTATACTTCAACGTCGGGCTAACGAGAGCGACTCTTTAATCTAGCTGGCTATGGACATTACGGTATATTATGCCTCTGGCATTATTATTACGATAGGGCGTATGCTGTGAATTGGGCGGTTTTAGCGGACTTAAAAATAGGTGAGACAAATGAAAGAAGTACCTTTAATCCCTTAGCGCGATTGATAGCACGTAGCGGCCTCAGTACACGGAGCACTCGGAGTACTTTGATGAAAGAAAATGCACCAGCTCTGCAAGTATACAATAAATAACGATATATTAAGTTGGTCAATAGAAAATTAGAGGTAACAAAAAATAATCTTATAGGCATTTTTTTAACGAAACTCTGCTTCTGAATCTAATGACACCATTTACAGATTTTTTTTATACAATGAAAAATTGCGCAATTAAAATTGTAATTAATTAAAATGTTGTAAAAGACCTTTATTCTTTTTTCATACAAGATTAGATAATGTCAGAATATTAATATAAAAAATAAGATCATACTTGACTGTCATGGAAACGAGAGAAGCGCAAACGACGAGAAGATCGAGCAGATTGAAAGCTGATCGACAAAACGCGCCTTCATGGATAATGAAGCCGTACGAGATCATTTTAAGGCAGATTTCGATCGTGAAAACAGCAGTGAAGAAATAGTCAAAGTAGTTCAATATCTGTAACATAAAGCATACATCAGTTTCGTTAGCTATTAAACAATTATTTCGATAGTTTTGTTAAAATTCTGATAAAACAGATATTTTAACAACTAAGAAATCAATTTGTCTTTCGGCGCAATCGGATACCAGATTTCTCTCAGACGAGGTTCTCAGTGGGTCTTCGGCGGCCAACATGGCAGAGGAAATCATAATGCAAATCAATATCACGTTGCTGAAATAACTATGATTGCAGAACCAATGGCAGAACACGCGAAACCTGTAAAACGAGATTGAAAAGTAATATAGTGGCTTCTAGTAAATGAAAAGATAGGGAAAGTTTAATTAAATTATTCTTTATGTTTTATCTTGGCGGCTAAAACAAAGTTCGAAAAGTTTCTGTACCTATTAGTGCTTGAAAAAATAAAGAATGCCGAACCAGCCGGGATAGGTTCCTTCTTGGTGGTCGTATTGTACTCGGACATTCTTCGCGGTCTAGCTGTCACTTCCTGCTCCTCACCTGTAAAAGTAATTAATCCCTTATTTAGTCTTTACTGTTTTATTTAATTTTATTTTATTTGCTTCTGTCTTCTAATTGGAATATCGAGAGGTTGAAAATGTCGTACAGTTTTCAATCATTAGTTTCTGAAACACAGAAAAATGAGGTTAACTAACCTTGCATTTCTTCTGGCTCGTCTTCCTCTTCTTCCTCTTCTTCCATTTCTTCGTCGGACTCAACGTTGAGTCGCACTTTATGCGTATTCATATCTTCACTTTTCTCTGACCTGCATAATTAGTGATAATTACACAGATTACATTTTAAATTTACTTTTTCAAAATAGATATCTTTTAGTGGATTCGGCTTATTCTTCAGAAATTTACAGAACATAGAAAAATAATTGTTAAAATAAAGAACACTACATCTTTTTCAATATCTCTCAGAAAAAAAGAAGATAAAAAGTTCTTCAACTATCTTGAGAAATTAGTACTTGATATATAATATATAAAGACAAGTAACAATTTAATTAATACCACTAAGTTCTCTAATGAATTCGGTCTGAAGAAAAATAAAATACATTGCAATAACGAATTACGATCACTGCGTGCCCTTAATTGAACCGTGGTTATTGACTCTTGCGAATCCCCTTTGGGATCACAATAATATTGCATAAGGAGAGGTATGTAATAATGTACTCCAATCTCGTTAATGTAATAACGCACATCATTATATTACAACTTCCACTGCGTTATGAGAGAACTTACGTTTCGGTATCGAGTGCAGCCTCATAGTCCTCCATTGTCTCGTTAGGATCATGTTCGAGATCTGTGCCGGCGCCCTCGTCTTCTCCACCGGTCCCCTCACCACCATCATCACCAACTTCGCCGCTGACTTCGTCCCTTGCCGGCGAACCGCTGCGAGATTTATTTTTCTCCTGTAGAATATAGGAGAGTAGTTATCTAGCCAAGTGATTCGGTCAAAGATAAGTCGGTTGCACAATCAATAACAATAATCTCATACAAAGTATCTATAGTAAAATGCAATGCCCACAGAAGAAAATCTCTCGAGATAGAATAATATTTATTGTAATAAGATATATAGAACATTGTGTTTAAATAATAAAAATTAAGTCCTTATGTTTGATTTAACCAATGAAATTTAATTTAGTCTTAATCATAATTTTATTGATGTAATTGATTCAATTTCTCTGCATTCCAAACATTTCACGCACAATATAGAGTCTATCTGTTAGAAAAAGAAAGTTGTGGGACTAATTAAAGCATTTAGTGACGAACACGAATTACATTCATACGTTAAATAATGCTAAATAAAATATTTATTTTTCGGACTAATTAAATTCTCTAGCTAATATGTATAATTGTTAAGAATCTTTATTTTTAGACCGCATATGTAAGAAACACAATCAATACTAGAAATTTTAAAATGTCTGTTACAGTCGAAACTGGATCTGCATTTAAATAATTCAATCTTGAATTACTAATACACACTATATATGTACTTGCATATATATACCATATTGTAGTCTTTTCGAATTGCGCGCCGAATTGTTTTTCCGGACTTATAAATTAAAACTACTCTAGTAATCGCGAAATAAATTGGCAAGCAATTTTAATAATTTTATGCTACCATTAATTATAAAGATTTAATATGTTGAAACTGTTAATAAATTTATTGCGAAAAATATTACCTCGGCCGGAATTTGAACTCGGATCTCTTGTATTCTGTACGAATGTCCTAAACCATTAGATCACCGAGGCCTTAGTAATATTTTTCGCAATAATGTATAATTATTCACCGATTAATGTCATTATTATTTAAAACTCTCCCTACGAATTGATAACTCATTCGCAAATATTAACATGAAGTATATTACTATACACACACAAATATTTGATTGATGTTATTGTAGAGCAAATTCTCGAGTTAATTATATATCTCGTTAATGTTTCTGTGTAAAGCAAAACCTGTCCATTATTTAAACACCGAGAAAACATTCCTCAGTGTCACTTTCTATACTGAAAAAAAAAAAATTGGCTGCTGCAGCAAATTAGATGGTAACATATGGCATAGCATTTTTAATTGACTGCAACAGTCAATTCAATTTTTTGCAACAATCAATTTTTGGTTGCGTTAGCCTATCCGCATATCAGTATAGGATTTCAATAAGCTAACGCAACCAAAAATTGACTACTGCAATTAAAAATGCTATGCGCCATATTCAGTCAATCTTTTCTTTCAGTGTTATAAAATCGAAAAACCAATGCGATATGAATTGGCAGTAAAAAAAAGTTCGATGCGCGAGTAAGCGATAAACTTTTTTGTTACAATGATTTGATTGTATAGCTCGCGTTGTAACGAAACTACAAACTTCTTTTATTACTTTTAAAAGTGCCGTTGGTAAACAATAACACAATCTGTGTACTCGATTCAAATATCAATTCCACACATATCATCCCATTTTATTCATTAAAAAGAATCACACAATATTGAGAGAAATTACATATTTCTTTATGTGTAACAATCAAAAAAGAATACTTGACACGTACAAATTAGAAAAAAATAGAACTTGCTAAGAAATTATTAGTAATGCAGTGAGATATATGATTCGTTGTATTATAAATGCGAAGTGTGCGTCATACATTAAAGAACTTCGCGCGATCATAATTTTCGTCGTGTAATCAACAGTTTTTCCATAATGTTGTTTGGTTGTAATCCACAAGCATGATTAATCAGCTTTCGAACTTTGCCACTGTGGTTTTAAACTACCTTACAAGTAAAATTGCGTTGCGTCGCATAACTTCGTGAATTGCAACAGCTGCACATTCGACGAAGGAAATCTGACGTTACACAAGTAATTTTCTGGTTTTCGTATATATAACACTCGTATTAATTTGACTAGTTCCGCGTCAATATTTAGATCAATTTTAGTTTAGGATAAAATTAGAGTTCGTAATTAATGAAGTTATCATTAAAGATAAATAGGATTCTGGGACACTGTATGTGTTTGATTTTAGACATGTGAAGCGTCTCTTATTATGAAAAGACTATGTGTGTTTCGCAGCTGAATTAATATTATTAGAACGATCAATTTCACATGATAAAATCTTGACCGTATCAAGGAAGAAAATTAAAATAGTTCTTTTTATCGCTCTTTACACGCACGAGCGTTAAAAACGCGATGTTCATTTACTCGCATTCGGGATAGGCATCATCTTGTCGTCATCGACCCTCAGATTTATTCGAGCGGGCTCGCATTATCTGTAATGCGCATCGTAATATCCACCCTCGCAAATGCTTTGCACGCGACGTAAAGACGCGCTTCTCTTCGTGAGAGATGATGCGGTCGCGCGCGAAGCCTGATTGTTTATGGAAATCCGGAAGAAACGGCTCGTTCAAAAGTTACACGATCCTATAATTTTTACAGAAAGACGATGACGTGTATTCAAATTTACTGCTTTCATGTTCTTTTGTGTCAAGGTCTTTCGAGAGACAGCATAATTATATTTCTTCATTAATTTAATGGAAGGATCGAAAAGTGTGTCATTTAATGAAAATAAAGTGCTGTATGAAAAATATTCCAAGATACATTGTGTAACGTTATTATACAAAAACAATAGCAAAAATTGCTATGAGTACAGGTTTTTGAAAGAATAAATTTTTGTTAATGAACTCGAGTTAAGGACTCGAGCTTTCATTGACAAAATAGGAAGAAGTTAATTTTCTTAATATGATATTTCAACATAAATAAAACGAATTTAACGAAGTATATTGTGTATATATTAAGAATATATCAAGTGTATAATCTCGGCAAAAAGTGGCTGTTATTGGAAATATATATACTTTCCATATAAAAATAAATGTTATATACATATAAAACAGATCAATAAGATCAATATTTATGTTTAACAATATCATTTTTAATTTTATAATTTTTATTTTATTTTAATTATATTTGATAAACATGTCTACTTGTTACTAAAATAATTTTTTATCTAGATTTATAAATCTCTGCCAAATTTTTTATATTACTTTAAAAAAAATACAATATAAAAAATCTGTAATTTTGTTCATAATTTTCTCATTTTGTTAAAAAATGAGAAAATCCTTAAATTCACGTTATGTCTTGTCCTCAAAATCATCGGCAATCTAGTACATTATGTATCTATGTCTTCATATTATTGTATATATATAGTCAAACTCACCTCTTCCTCGGCCTCCTTTTCGATGGCAGTCAGGGACTCGGCATCGGCGAGATTGTCGACAGCGATAGCCAAGAACACGTTCAAGAGGATATCTGCGTTGCTATCTTTGTCAAGGATCAATTAAAATTTATTAAATCAGACCGAATCGATATTACACTTGCGCGAGAAGGAAAGGGACGATTGTTTCGTCGCCGAGTCATCTTTTTCGATAAAGGATACAATTACCGCATATGAAGAGAATAATGAAATAAACACAGGCGAGTACACCGATACCGGCGACGCCACCATAAGCTAGAATCCCGATGTACATCACAGCATTCCAATCCTCACCGGTTAATATCTAGAGATGCAGAGAAGCCGAGCGTTATTTTTAGAACATAGAGGAAAAATAAGAAATTAAATTAAATTTCAGAATCAAATTTCATAATGAATCAGGAATGCAATTTTGCGATTTTATAGTTTTTATGTGTTTGCAACAAGTTTTTTTATGAAATAATTAGATACCTGAAATACGGTGAGTAAACTTTGCCAAAAGCTATCAAAATTATGGCGCGTCTTCTCCTCATTATCACTGAAATTGAATTTTCCACCGAAGACCTATTCAAACGATAAATTTCGAAGAAAAATAATGAAAAGATGTTTGTGTCATTACATCGTTATAGATCATTCGCGCTGTATCTACCTGCATGCCCAGAAGAGCAAAGATTACGATGAAAAGGAAAAGCAGGAGCAACAACGAGGCAATCGATTGTATCGAGTTCAATAAAGAGGCCACTAAATTCGACAGTGATCTCCAATATCTGCAAACAGAAGAATAACGCAACTCACATCTTTCATCGCGCATATTACATTTATCTCTTGCGTTAAAATTTAATTTATATTTCTTTCAAAAATACTGATGTATCGTTTTGTGATGAAATATCGATGGCATAATTTTGTACAGTTTGATAAACTTAATTTATGTCTGTAAGATTTGACTGACTCTCTACTCACTTCGTTACTTTGAATACCCTGAGCAGCCGGACGCAACGAAGTACGGAAACGCCAAGAGGTGGCATTACACGTGTATTTGTAAGTATCATTTCGGTGATCGAACCGATTACGACGAAGCAATCGAAACGATTAAACAACGAGACGAAATAACCCTGCAAAGTAAATTATAATATCTGAAGATTGATAGACATTTTATTTATATTTTTTAAGAGTACTACGTATCTTTCTATGTAACACACACATACACACATATACAGGGATGTTTTCTCTAATTTTCCTCATTTAAAATATCTCCGTTGATTTGGATGATACAGTAAATGATACTTGAAAAAAATTTTTTGCTTATAAATATGTGTCCTTTCCAATCGAACAATTTTTCCCTGTAGTATTTTCCCATATCATCAAAAACAACGGAGATATTTTAAATGATCAAGTTAGAAGAAACACTCTGTATATATATTCACCAATGTAAAAATACATATCAATAATTATAAATAATGAACATTACTTGAATAATGTAATATCAATATTAACCTTTAAACGTCACATGTTAAAAAAATCACGCAGATATCACACGGGGTTAATTGAATCTCAGCATAAAAAAGTGTATACTATTCCTAGAGTTTTTGAAGCATACTTTTGTAATAAATAAATTAATTTTTTTTAATTTTTAATATTTTTTGCTAAAAATTTAGAGTTATACTCTTGAGATAGTATACGATTGAAGATCCCCCAGTGGCATTTAAGGGTTAATTAATTTCGTCATAATTTCAAATTAGCAAAATTGGAAAATGATGTAGCAGTCACTCACCTGAAAGCCTAAACTGTACATTTTTAATATCATCTCCATGGAGAACAGCACAATGAAGAACATGTTCGTGATTTCTAATAATAAAAGAAGAAAAAAGTGCATCACTAAAGGTGCCGGAATGGATTTATAATTAAAGACAAACAGCAGTCGACATTATTTCCACCAAGTAGCAACGCGACAATATTTACCTTGAAAGTGGTCCAACCATTCTGGCTGATCGTAGTGCTCCGTGGCGAGAACGCCAGTATTCAAGAAGACCAGAACTATGATGAGCCAATAGAAGACCTGGGACTTCACAGCCTTTCTACAGGCTCTTCGCATCCGCCTGTTCACTCTGTGAATATTCGTATCACAAAAGAAATATGCATGTAGATTAAACTTCACACTCGCTCGTATACACAAACGTTTAGAGAATCTTCGAACTTCGTCAGACAAACGATGCTTTGATCTTTACTATAACTAACATTTCTCGTGTTACACATACATGTAAAAGCACAACGGTATTTCAGAGAAAGATCTTTCTGAAGTCAATTATTGAGATTTGTCGAAATATCTGTGACGATGGTTATCGCGAAGGGTTATTTGTTTCTTAATACTAAAAGTACCAAATTTCTTATTTACTAAAAGGTCTAAATAAATGAATTACATAATAAACTACATACTATAAAAATTAAGAATGTAATGCAAAATTAAATATAAAGAATATAATTATTGAAAAATTAAAAATTTCAGAATCCTATCTTTTTTTTTTATAGAAATATAATATTAATTTAAAAAATGAAAACGGTTAATAACCGCTCAATACTTTTAATGTTAAAATGAACATTTAAATGGACTTAATTTTGGGAGATGATATTCAATGTCGTATTTACCTTTCTAAATCTCGTTTTTTCTTTTTGTAAACGGACTCTTGTTGGATTCCTTCCTCGTCACCCTCCAATTGGTCTGTGCTTTCTATTTCATTTTGCTGCTTAGCTATTTAATATTAAACTCAATTAATTAGCAACCTTCAACTAGGGAGGAAAAGATATTTCATCATATAAAATTGGATTTGGTATAACAACTTCTCGAATTTATTTTACGCACTCCTATGCGCATTTGCATAAATGCATAATACAAAACATATCGCAATTAGATAAAAATCTATTATTTTATATATATATATATATATATCAAATTATTTTTATTAATAATTAACTTCTGTTTATACAATATCGTATAAAATTTCCAAATTATTTTTAGTTATAGTAACCGAACATTTGATTGAAATTTCATCCCTTTGATAATTATTATTTATAATTCTATCTTCAGTGTACATTTTGATTTTAGAAAATTCTCTCTCCCTTTGTACATAAATACGTACTTTTTCCATCTTGTAACATTTTTGGCTCATCAGTTTCTGGCTCGATGTCCTCAGCTTGCGTTATCCAGTCGAGGTAACCCCTAAGATCGTCTTCGATCTGCTGTTTCTCCCTGAGCTTATGAAAGTCACCGCGCGCCTTTGCCTTCTCTCTCTCCTTAGAAAATTCACTGTACGAAAGCGAGACAAATCCATATACGATTATGCCGCGTCGTGATTAGAGATACGATGTGAGAGACATGTAATTGGAACATTCAAAGGCAATGAAACGGAAATCGAGACACGCGTGAAAAGGGATCTTTATTTGTCCACTTCTTCGATCTCACTCGAACAAGGACAAGTATGATGTAAATACGGCTTTCGTATCGGAAAACATCTAGCGAAATGCTGTCTTCCGACATTCGCGGTCTTTCTTCTTTTATACAAGTAGAACAGACGATCCATGCCACTAAAGATCTAATTATTCTAAGAATAACGCTTCTTGACGACCGCGCGTCTCCATAAAAAGTTTGATATCTTCCGGTGAATTTTGATATATAAAATTTCATATTCTGTTAAGCTAGAGAAAATTTTATTATTTGCATAATTAATCGGCACTGTTTATTCTTTTTATTGAATCTCGAAACATTAAGGAACATATATTTCTAACATTTCGTCGATATTTTGACTTATTTTCGAGCAATCTTTGAAATGTATTTCAAACGTGCATTTTGCGATGTTTCCGATAACGAGAGTGTTTGCGCGTGTGGTATTAAGCGATGGATAAAACGTAAAAAGGGAAGGAAGTTAAATCGCGCTTGTCATCGATATCGTTTTCACACCTCGATTAACCGCGCATCCTTTACCGATACGCAATGGAGTGTGTGCGTGTGTATATGTGATATCAACCTAAGAAAGGGATATTTTTATCTTGATCCCCCTTTCTCCCTCATCAAGGATTGCAAAACTTCCCAAAGATAGATGTTAAAAGCTGCTTCGGCGGATTAAAGCAATCCTCAATCCCAAAACATAATAGGTATAAGTCTTAAGCCGTAAGAAATCAACCAATCGATGACTCTTTTCACATTTAATTCGCAATTGACCTATTGGCTTAATATCTTATTGCTTAAAGCTTATTATACTTGTAATGTTTTGTAACTAAAGAATCACTTAAGCATCGCGGAAATTAAAAATTATTCTATTATATATCAGTAAATATCGCATTTATATATCTGTACATAAAGTACATGATGTTTAAAATTTATTATTCTCAATATTTTGTAAAATTAAATTAAACAAATATAAGAACTGTAATCTTTGGACGTAGCTATTCTTTTTGTGACGAATTCTGTCTGTAGAACAAAATTTTTTCCAACACTTACCCGGACAACACACCGAGAATTAGATTCATCACGAAGAAAGCCCCTAGAATGACCATTGAAATGAAGTATATCCATTGCCACGAATTTCCCATCGCATCCTCGATCTACCATATAAATCAAAATTATGAAGAGAATTAGTTTCTCGAAGAATTCTGCTTGATTTTTGTTTATTATTTAAAATCAACGATGTCTAAAAGTTTTACAAAAAAATATATAGCTAGAATCTTTAATGTATAGGATCAGTGCAAAAATTCGTGCTCGATTTATTATTCAAAGTTTAAACAATTTTGCTGCAATTTTGTTAAAAATAAATGAAATTTAAATTTAAAAAAAAAAGAATTTCAAAGCTTGAAATCTCTACTTTCGAATGGTTATTATATTTTTTTAATTTATATGAGTTTTGTAATTTTTACATATAGAAAAAAAAACTGCGAACTCAAAAAAATTAAAAATTTTCTTTTCACTTTGTAGGTCTGTAGCGTGCCCAAAAAAAATTTGAGCAAATTTTCGATTGTTTCCTGAAAAAGCTTGAAACTTTCCCTATAAAATCGTTTTTTAAAAATATTTCTACGTTTTTCCTGAGTTGCGAATTAAATGAAATGAATATTTTGCGAATTTTGACTTTGATTGCTCATAACTCTATCAAAACCATTTAAAAAAATTGATTTTTAAATTCTTTCATCAGGTAGAGTAAGATTTATTTTATTTTTAACAAAATAGCAGCTATTTGAAGTTTGAATAATAAATCGGGCACGAACTTTTGCACCGATCCAATATACAAGTATAACGCGAATTAATACAGAAAATCATAATAAAGGGTTTATGTTTTTCTATGTTAATATTTGATTAGATAAGACTATTATATGAACATGATTATTCTGTCAAATAAAACAAAAACACATGATTATTACACGTGCAGTGATTTTACATTATAAAGCACGTCCGTCCAGCCTTCGAGGGTGATGCATTGGAAGACCGTGAGCATGGACAGTCCAAAATTGTCGAAATTTGTAATGCCATAATTAGGGCCCTCCCAAAATTGTTTGCTGCAGTAGTAGGATCCGATCTGATAGCACTGGAAGCCTCCGGAGCCGCATGGTATCGGATCTTCCATTATCTCGTCTGCGATATAAAGATGAACCAAATTTTTAATCCCAACGGGATAACGGCGGTCGCGGAGCGTAATAAGGTCAGCACTCTGCGCTAAAACTTCTAATTGACTCGAGCAAGCGAGCAAGTTTAATGTATCATAATAACACGTTAAAATATTTGCACATTTTTTTACATATATGCAAACGGCTTGAGACTAGTACTTTTCTCCACTAACGCGAAGGCGATGTACTAGCCTGTCTCAGCTTCTCCGATATGTACATAGATCGATTAAAGGAGCTCTATTATTCGTTGCTTTGTTAAACTTTAAATTACGTTAGGTTGATACCGCCAGCATAGCAAAAAAAATCATATCTGTATCTCTTATCAAATTAAAATAATGGATATAATTACTAACTAATTGGCTTCTTTATTAATAGCACATAAGTATAGGACAGAGAAATATCGAAAATACAATTAAAGTACCGATTAATTAATTTTAATTAGTTGAAGTAATTATTTTAATTGATTGTTAAAATGAACGTTGGCTTCTCTGCAATATCCTATGTATCTATATAAAAATAATAGAACATAACATAAATACGAAAAACTATTAATTAATTAATACAAATTAATTCTATATATATATATATATATATATATGGATAGAATATAATTATTCTTAGTTGTTGAAAATAAAATTGAAAAGTTTCTATATATGGACATAAAAACTAGAGATTTTCAGAGCAAGAAAGAAGTTTAGCAAAGGCATTGTGCGAAGTAAACTGTTTTCTTTCTCGTCTCACACACACACACACACACACACACACACACACACACACACACACTCTCTCTCTCTCTCTCTCTCTCTCTCTCTCGAAGTTTTTGTATTGTCTGAGTCCGACACATTCATACGCTATTTTACATATATTCCTGTGAATCAGTTGTTCATCGCGCAAAAGTAAGTCACACGTGCGCCTCTCACGCTAAGATGGATAAGAACACAGACTCTTGCATAACGCATAACACATAATGCATAAGAAAATAAACCAATCAAAGTCCTTTATTTCCTTTCTTTCCATGAAATAAAGGATTAATTGATTTTCTTATGCTTTATGTATTTTATATGCAAGAGACTGTTCTCCCCGTTTAATAATATTAGGCGTTAGTTTTACGTCTCGTCTCGGTTGAATCATATCTAAAATAGTCGTCCCGGCGTAAAGTGTGTTTCAAGATTTAGCCAGAAGTTCCCCTCGAGATCCTCGCCAGATTCCCTTCCAACTTTTTCCAATTTTTTTTATTCTAATCATCAAAGGGCAAGTCTTAGGAACGTCTGCGAAATGCGTAATAATTTAACGGATTCCGCATTACATCTCATTAATTTTTTATAACTTCTTAATGGATGTGGAATAAATGTAGGTAAATTTCTTCTCTTATTATATATTAAAACATTGTATCAATTTCTTTCACATGAAAAAGTCTCGACGTAATTTAAGTATTATGATTTAAGAATTCATTCATAAATAAGTATTCTATTGTTAAAAAAAAGGAATCATAGTTTTTTTAAAAAGTCACATTATACGAACTGAAATATGTACAAACATGTACTTATTTCCACCGATCATATAAAATCTTGCAAAAGATAAACATTAATTTCAGGAGAAAATTTTAGCTTAAATTTCATGAAAAATTTAACAGAATCCTAATGCATAATTAATTTCTAATGATGTATTAAAAAAATTAATTGTAAAATAATATTAGGAAAATACAAAATTGTATTTCTTTAAAGCTCTAAGCTTCAAAAGAATTCAGAGTATAATAAAAATAAAGAACATCGATTCGCGATTGCCGTCATGAGAACGTTGTTACATTATTTATTAAACTTATGTATATTAAAAAAATTCTGAACACGCACTTACCGGTTATGTTGTGCCGGCACGTTTTGTGCATTTTCCCGGAGAATAGCTCGAGGCCGATGATGGCGTAAATGATGATGACGAAGAGAACTAATAAAGCAATATGCAAAAGTGGTACCATCGCCCTCAAAATGGAGTTTAGGACCACCTGAAGACCTAATGCAAATAAATTTATTTTTATCAATTATGCAATATTCTTATTAATTCTCTAACAACTGAAACACTTTTCGATTTTGAACAAAAGAATTAATGGTTTTATTAACATTTTATTCACAAATTTGTATCTAAATTTTGTTAATTTTTAATATGATCTCTAGAGATCAAAAAGAACTTTCTTTATTTATTATTTGCACATAAAATTATTCACATTAATATTTTGATCGGAAAATCTTACTTGGAACACCGGAAACCAGCCTAAGAGGACGTAAAACACGAAACGCTCTTAAGGCCTTGACGTCGAAACCCTCCTTCATAAGTAACATCAACACCGTGCTTATCATTCTGTAAAGAGGAATGCAAAAAATATTTTCTATGCAACAGAGGATTAATGACTTGACGATAAAATGAAGACTTGATAATGAAGGTTGCGAAAGTCATTTTCCCAGAACGTAATTTGTTCCTGAAGAAAGGAGTTTTATGTGCCAAGGCTAATAGCACCATAAACACTGTGTGGCAGCATTTACAAGAACATTTACGAGGCATAAAATAGGGAAGATAGAAGAGAAAAAGAAAATTTTTCCTCAACAAATGAGATTCATTGAAAAAGGCAAAATAGCTTTTTAGCATCTTTTTGTTCTCGGCATGTGCAATCTTTCTTGTCACGCCTTTAAATTACAATTTTCGTGCGGACGTTCGACGTACGTGACGTTGTCGTAAACGAGCTAAGGGTGAACAGTCAACCGGAAAGAAACGATTGTATCGGATGAGACATTTTCAAATGTTACCAGTGCAGCGGCTGCATTTTCTTCGTGCATTAAGCATTATGTCATTTGAATAATGGCCCCCGTGTAATGATCGATTCGATAAGGGAAGAGAATAGATGTGCTGCACGTTTTCCTATGGGACATTAAGACGAATCGATTCGCCGTGTCGTTAACTGAAAACGATAAAGCTATCAGACGGCAAGTCGGATATACGCGAAATGTTCGCCTCCGAAACAGGTAGTTACGCCTGTCGATTCGAATCCACCGTATCTGAGATCAATTTTGCGAACAATCCGCGCGTTTGCTGCGGAAATAAATTCACATCGCGGATCATTAACCGGGAAAACAGCAGGGGGGTTGGCCGATATACTCTGTTTGTCGAACTTATCGATGTTTTACGCCCTGCATCTGCAAGGTTCTTTCGTCTCTTTATCCTATGAAAATCGATGATTGTAAGTAAATAAGATATCATTATTTACATTTTATATATATATATACATATTATGCTACGTATCGTGACAGTAATAATTGAGTAAAGGCATATCAAGACTGAGTACCTTGTACAGTACTGTTCTATTTGCGTGGCAAGGAATGTTGCAATTACGTTTAATGATTTTTCATGCTTCTTACTCGCAAAGTTATCGGGAAATAAATGGAATCAAATATCTTTTATTTAACGAAGCGTCGAAAGAACACGTTTGGATTGGAAAAATTGTTGTTATATAAAAGTAACTAATTATAATTACAATTATTTAAAAAATAACAAGTCGTTACTTTTCAATTAGATTTCTGTTAATTTTTTGTAATTTTTTGCATTGCTTTAAATATAAGACATAAGACACTTACATATTTTTAGCATTAATAATTTATACTAAACATTCGATTATATTCTGTATTATTTATAAGAAATTAATATATATACTTTTTGAATCAATATTATAAGATCAATATTAAGATGTGTTCACATATTAAAAGAGTATATCCTATAGTTTTATTTTTAATGCAGACACTTATACAGTGTGATGATTAGTAGGGATAAAGTAATTAAAGGAGATAATAATTAAAGGAGATTTCAATCACAAGAAATAATCACCGAATACTTAATTTTCATCAGTCTATGTGTGTTGAATAATTTAAAATAACTGTAAAAATTACTTTAATTAAATTATATATTGCTAGTTAGAAAAAAATATAACTTAAGTTACAATTATTGAAAAAGTAACTGTAATTATAACTCTGTTACAAGTAATCAACCCTGAAAATTACTGTTATTATTTTTGAGAAAGCAATGCGTACTTTGTAAAATTAATAAATATCGCTCATATTCAATTACAAATGTAAATCCCACGTGTAGAATCAATTCAAATTATTAATTGCGGTGAGAATTATCAGCGCTCGATCACATGAAAAAGGGCAGACCTGTTAGGACATTATCGACTTAAGCGGCACTCGTAAAATTTCAATTCCCGATCCGCTGTTATATCCGACTGAATTTAATTTACACATGAGCCGTGACATTATGTCGATCGATCGACCATACGTGCGTGGGATTATTTTGCTAATTTCCCATATATGACATAATAAAGCTAGTCATTTCGTCTCACTATGAAGAAAGGGATTTTCAGGTGATATTTTCTTCCTTCCGGTGCCGCCGTCTTCGCTCTCATTCGGCGCGCCGTCAATTTCACTTTATTTACGCTTCGCGAAATACACGTTCGGATCAATTGGTTCGTAAAGCTTAAATCAATTTTATTTCTTCAGACGTTCTCGTGCGTACTCGCATTTTTATGAAATAAATATGACGTGCAGCTTTTTTTTTTGTTTGTATCGCGAGTCTCATATTTTTGTCAACTCTTTTAAATATTTTAATATACGCGAAAATATAAAAATATAATAACTTCATAAAAAATAACTTTGTTTAAGTGCGTTTAGTATAATCAATACATATAACAGAGTGAGTGCAAAACCACTTTATTATTTATGATCTTGTAATTTCTATAAATATTTTAGCACTATTGATAAAAGCATTTTAAGCACAATAAATACTGCCGATATTCTTCATTACGTTTTTTATAAAATATGCAATTGTTCTGTGTAGAATTATGTTTATTTCTATTGAAAATTTATATAAAATATAATTCTGTTTATTTTTTTATTGAAAATATATATTAAATGTAATTCTATTAAAAGTGTATATTAGATTTTATAAAAGTAACTTGATCATCGGTATATCTGTGATAAGCGAACGCCAAACTCGAGTTGCACTACTTGTCGCTGCACCTTACCGTTCGTCGCACGTCATTGACAGTATGTGCACTGAAAAGACATCACTAGGTGCAAACTATCCACTATCAAAGTATATGATCGCCATGCATTATCGATTACGTCGGCATTGGTCCAATTAATTTGCTATCGAGATAGGTTGTTAGATGCTATCTTCGTCGACACTTGCCCATCGGCCATCGAATTCGGGGAAAAATGAGCTTATTATAAAATAACGTTGGAAGTATTATTGGATATTATAGTGTCACAAAGACGTTATTTTTAAGCAATGTTTATCAATCTATAGAAAATTAAAATTGAAATATAGATAAATTTATGGAGAAATTTGCGTGTGTGACTACACCCTCAGGGTGGTTTATCTCCCTCCAAAAATTTAGCAGTGAAGAAGGAAAGAAATTGTATATTTAATTTCATTCTAATAATTTAATTTTAACAGATTCAATTAATGTACTGTAAAAATCGCTCAAAGAAGGATTAGATCTATTTATAAGCAGGAGGGGAAGTAAACGTAGATTTTCAAGGTTAATGTACTCACCCGATCACGACTATCGTGAAATCCAGCAAGTTCCAGCCATTACGGAGGTAAGCTCCTGGATGCGCGACGAAGCCGTAAGCTATGATCTTCATCACGCACTCCACCGTAAAAATCACAAGAAAAACGTACTCTATCTTCTCCTGTAACACCAGAGGAAAAATCGTCGTGAAAAATATGAAGGGAGGTGCACTGGCGTAGATCGATTGCCTCTAAAAGAACCTTTGAGGAAAGTTACAAATAGAAAGGCCTCTCTTGTTGCCGTCTTAACGTCGGAAAGAGGCCACTTTGATTGATAAGCGTCAAGCGATAAGACACCTTCGCAATTTTGACTCTGCGACATGTCGGTTCGGCGTCAACCGAGGGTGGCAATTAAAACAAGCGGTGAAAACAAATGACAACGGGCTGCAATTAAAAACGCACGAGACCAAGGAAACAATATTTCGCGCGCACGTACACGAACGTCTTCGTTAAACATTTAAAGCACGAGCGTTGCGGTTGCAGTTGGATTACGGCGAGTTACGACAAGAACATGATCATCGTTAATCGTTCGGGAAAAGGGGTGTCAACTAGCGTCGATATTTTTTTCAGGAACTTGGGTACAGTAATTTTTCACTCGCAATTCGAATTTGCGTAACCTGTTGCTTTCTTTTTTCTTTAAAAATCTCTTATCCCCCGTGCTTGCAGAATTAAGTAGCAAAAACTTTAGTAAAACCCTTTTCAAAATTTCGGAACTTTGACTAACTCATTACATGGCGTCACAAAATTAATTAATTACAATGTCAGCTGTACAAAATTGTATATCATTTTGGAACTTCTTTTACCTCCCTTACCTCCCATATATTTCTTTTCTTATGCTCGATTATGATGATCGATTATGATGAAGGATTAATAAAATTTTATAATCGCTCGACTCAAAAAAGTTTATTGTAATTTTATTGAATATATGAGTTCTGTAAAGCAGAGAGTAATGTAAACAGAACATAAAGAATGCAATAATATACTTTAAGTGAAAACAAGAGAAAACGCAAAGCAGATGTATTTTATAAAATACATTGACGAATGTAGGACTAACTTTTCGATCTCAAAAGTTTCTCATTAGCATAACTCGTCGACAGTAGTATCAGTAACATCGTCGGCCATCGCGCAAAAGGGTTAATCGACGCATGGTGTTGTGGTTGCAGCGGGCAGAGGGTAAGGATGGTACAGGCCTTGGTGAGAAAAACAGGCGAAACAAAAGGAAGAAGCGATGGGTTAAAAATAAGGCTGAAGTGCACTCGCTCGTACACATCAGAGGTAGGAAAAAAAGCTGCTACGCGGAGAAGGCGCGCAGAGATGGTGGATGTTAAAAGGGAAGTTGAAAGGCGCGAATGCGGCCACAGAGAGGATACAAACCCTTTCTGTCTCCCTTTTTCTTCTCTCGCGCCACATCCATTAAGTTTAATTTCCGAAATCGATCGATTATTGGTCCGTTGAAATAAGCTCAAGAGCGCATTATATTGCCGGCTGCCCGTGTTGCTCACCGATGTGTGACACGTGGGCGCCATTACATCACTTTGAAGATGTAAAGTAATATAAAGTAAAATATGAGGAACCGAAAGTTTTTTTTTCGGTTGGTCTTCTCATATATTTTATCAAATACTTGCTTTATTACGAATTTAGCCTCAAGAGCGTAAACATTATTTAGCACTTTGAATGAATTCACGACGTGACTTTTCGAGGATTTGCTTTCATCAGATTTCAACTTTATAATTTTCTTTTACTGAAATATATACATACCACTTGTTATTTTATTGAGGTCTTTTCGTAAATTTAATGAAAATAAAAATAATTCACAAGTATATTTTCGAGAAAAAATGAAAAAAAATTGAAACATTAATACAGTTATATTTTTTTATCTATTTTTTCATCTATCATTCATCAGCTTCATTCTCTAAAATTCGTTTCTCATGAACATGAATTAAGTCTTTAATTAATTGTCTATCTCTTCTTCGAATTATACTTTCATATACATTTCATTATAACGATAGTACTTTTCATTAGAAAATGCATTGTAGTATACTTATATATCGTACAGTTTTCTACTTGGTCACACGAGGATTAACACATATGTCTGCAATATGAGCGAAATATGAGAAGAGCAGGTAGTAAGTCTAGGAAGGTAGATGTTACGCTAGTGTACTTGCCGAATAATAGATTCGTCACTGGATATTAAATGACAGATTGCATTCGACTAACAAATATTTTATTGCCTATAAGAGATTAAACTATTCGATTTGCTGCATGTAATTTTGCTACATTGCATATAGTAATTAATATACTTGTAAAAAGAAAAATTTTCGGCACTTCATATTCCTTAAATCATAATAATTTTATAAATATGATCAATCAATTGCTTATTTCGTGAAAATTATTATAATAAAAAGATAATGTTTGCTGGAAACACCAAATGCTATTTTGCATTATTTTAAATTTAACACATGAATTAACGCAGACCGAATTATAAAAAATTTAAATTTTCTTTGTCTAAAAGATAATAGATATTCATAAAAATATTTACAATACGCTCATGATGCATACAATTGCACGCATTGCAAATTTCTGATATAGTTTTCTAATATAATCTTGGGCGATAAAAGATATCGAAGTTTTATCTCGATTAAGTCGCGCAAAGAAAAGTTTTTAAAGAAATAAAAATCGAACTTAAGATTTGCAAGAGTTTTTAGAGTTTGCGAATAAATTCGAATCTTTTCCCGGAGGCGTTGTTCTTTGTTTCCCATTTCTCCGGAGATGCTAAAAGAGTGACATCGGATAGAAAAAAAGCGTGAAAAATAGATT